TTTTTGGCTATGTCTGAGCAGGCAGGCTGTGTGTTCTTTGCTGTTTGCTCGTCTGTGGGCACGATACTTTTCACCTCCTTCACCAGTAAGCAGGGTCAGTCGCTCAGATATGGTGCAGCAGGGCAGGTCTGGCTGAAGAGGAGTTGCTGGGATGGGTTGTTTGTGGCACTTACTACAGCCACCAGTAATCAGTGCAAGGCAGTTCCAGTAGGCCGTGCTTGTGCTGCTTGGTGCTGTAACGTTAAGCGCACGGTGCAGGAAGGCAGGATGGAGGGGGGAGATTGTGATGTGTGGAGCTAAGGTGGGTATGGGAGAGAGGAGAGAGGAACAGGAGCCAAAAACATACAAACAAAAAAGAGTGCTAGGGGAGCTTGCCGTTGGAGTGGAGAGATAAGAGGCTATGAAATGGAAAAAAACAAAAAGGGGAAGAAGAAGAAAAAAAATAGAAGAAAAGAATGAACAAATAAAATTTAGGAAGAAAAAAACAGAAAAGCTCCCAGGGATCCCACCAGTGCAGCTATGAGGTCTGGGGAAGTTGCTCCCAGTGTTGTAGTACAGCCTGGCTAGGAGGCGTAGAGGTATTCAGCACCAGGTATCCAGGGGACAAGAAGAGAAGGAAGGTATAGAGAGATGAGAAACTGAATAATGAAGAAAGACAAAAAGGAAAAAAGAGGGAAAAGAAAAGAAAACAAATTAAAAAAAAAAGAACAATAAACCCCCCCAAAAAAAAACAGAAAAAAAAAAAAAGAAGAAGAAATACTCTCCGGGATCCCTCTGCACATCTGCGCAAGCTGAGGGGGTAGGTCCCAAGCCACACAGCACTGCCCAGCCAGAACGGGCTCCCAACTAGAGAAAAGAAGAAGAAAACAAACAATTCAAAACAAACAAACCAAAAAAAGCCCCAGGATCCCACTAGTGTAGCAGCACAGACCAGGAAGCGGTTCCACACTTGAATGGAGCTCCACAGCCCCTCAGGAAGACACGAAGATGGTGCACGGAGCCAGGTATTTGAGCAAAAGGAGGGGGAGGTAGTGAGAGGTAAGGAAGAAATCAAAAGAAGCGGAAAAAAGCAACCCCAGCAGCCAACAAATGGCACTCAGGAGTCGGCCAGTGCAGGCGGGTGGAATCCAAGCACCCGGTGCTTCTTGGCGAAGAGACTGTGGCTGCGGGAAGCAGAGGCCGAGTGGGGGTGAAGAAGGGTGGGGGGTGGGAAAGTGTATATGGCTGTTTACCAGTTGTTCTGTCTCCTGCTGGAAGCTCCGTGAAGCTGCTTTCTCATACCCCCTATTTGCTGGTCTCTGATAGGCTTCCAAGATGACAGATGCGTGCTGCATTAGCTGATAGGGGACCTCTGCATGTATGTCTCCTCCTGTCAGCTTCTTATTCCATTTGGTGCTTGGCTGAGTTCTTTATCTCTTCATTTGATGTTTAGGATTTCAGGATTGCTGCTTTATCTGTTTGGCTTAGTTTTTTGGATCTTTGCTGTGGAGGGACGGCATGGTGCTTCTGCCTAGAGCGCCACATTGCTGGAAGTCTCTGGTGTTTCCAACTTTTGGTGAGGATGGGATTAAGTGGAACTTTCATATATTACAGGAGGAAGATTAAATGGTACAATACAATCACTTTGGCAAATGTGTTGGCAACTGATTCACTCCTAGGAAATTTTTAAGACAAATTAGTGGGTAGGCCCATCAAGAGTTATATACTAGGATGTTCTTAGATTCTTTTTTCTTAATAGCCAAATATTGAAAATCAGGGAAATGAGTGAATAAATTCTTCTATAGCCATACAATGAAATGCTCCTCTGTAATAAAGCGAATGAACTATTGCTACATACAAAAGCTTGGAAGGGTCGTCTACATATTCTGTTCAGTTAAAAATGTCAAACAATAATGTAAATAAGTATAATTTCACTTATATAAAAAACTCAAAAACAGGAAAAACCTAAAGGATTGATGCCTTTGAATGATGGTATTGGCGAGAATGTTGAATATACCATAGACTGCCAAAAGAATGAATAAATTTGTCTTGGAAGAAGTACAGCCAGAATGCTCCTTAGAAGCAAGGATGGCGAGACCACGTCTCATATAAGTTAGACATGCTATCAGGAGAGTTCAATCCCTGGAGAAGGACATCATGCTTGGTAAAGTAGAGGGTCACTGAAAAAGAGGAAGACCCTCAATGAGATGGACTGACATGGTGGCTGCAACAATGGGCTCAAGCATAACAATGATTGTGAGGATGGTGCAGGGCTGGGCAGTGTTCGGTTCTGTTTTACATAGGATTGCTATGTACAACCTTGACAGCACCTAATAACAGCAGCAACAGGTGGTACTATTATTCCTCAATGCTTTTATTCAGATATTGGGAGAATTATATTATTTAGAGAAATATATACTCCTATACACACACACATATATATAATTTTGAGCAGCTAAACAATTAAGAGTATTTAACATACAAACATTAAGTTTTTTATTACTTAGAAATGCCTACTTTGAAAAGCAAAGAATCCTAAAAAAGTTCTAATTTACATACACAATAAGAAAACTATTTGCTTTTATTGTGTCTGTGGTTTTTTGTTTTTAGTAGAAAGCCATTTCGAATTTTAAAAACTAGATCAAGACATGAACGGAACTACATCTTGGTGTAGGTGACCAGCCACTGCTCGTACATAGTGCCGTATTTCCCCTGGTTGCAGGATAAAAGCCATCTTTTCACCTGTAGCTGATTTTATCTTCACTTCTGTGTATAATCCTTTGAGATGTGTAGAAACCATTTGCAATATAAGGAGGATTACATGTGACTCCTTAAAAGAAACACAATGTAGTACATGAGAATAAAAAGTAGAGGTTATTTATCCTTAGTACAAAAAAAGAAAGAAAACATAAAAATGAGCACAGCCTCATATCCTTCCTGCTATATCACTCATATATCCCTCCATTACGTTTGTTAACTGATGTATGTGTGCCCCTTGGACTCATGAGCTTTCTATTTCTCCAAACCCATCACATAGTTCTTCCTTGGCTTCTGTAGTTGTCTAAAGGAATATTTACAAGTATTCTGGTTCTCTTCCTTCCAGATACATAGTTGTATAGGTCATTCTTGTCCTTTTTGATGTAGACACAGACAAATGACTAGTATAGGCCAATGAAATGTGGAAGTATATGTTTCACTTTAAGGAGGAAGTTTTAAAAGCCATTGTGTGAATTTTTATGTTCCCTTCCCTACAGCTACAGTGATTAAGGACGCACATTGAGAGATGATATTTCCATCACTTGAGTCTTGAATTAACATAATGAACAGAGTCCCCTTCTAACCTAGATTGGAAATGAAGCACAAACAAGAAATGCACTTTGATTTATTAGCCTACTGAAATTTGGAGATATATCTTTCTTACTGTGATTTGGAGATATTTTCCTTAACTATAACAGAACAACTTAGTCCAGGGGTTGGAAAACCTTTTTTGTAAAGCACCAGATAGAAGTTCTCAGTCACAACTCCTCAGCTGTGCCATTATAGCACAAAAGAAGACATAAAAAAAATGGCTATGGCTGTATTCCAATCAAACTTTATTTACCAAAAAAAGGGACAATCAGTTTTAATTAGTGAGCTATAGTCTCACCTAGTCTATCTCAGTTGATAAAGCTCCTTCTCATTCCTATCCATCAACTCTGCTAAATCTTGGCAATGGATAAACTTTTCAAGCTCCCTTTTCTAATAAAATATCATTCCTTTTAGGCATTGTTGTAGAAGAGTCACATAACCATCTTTATTGCTGCCATGATTTAATTTTAGCTAAAAACCTGTGGTAGAAACTCAGCATTGCCTGAAACCCATTTATATGTCCCTAATTTGCTTCCTTTTTTTCCCCAAAGGAACTGTCCCATTCTCTCCTCACTCTCCTCAAGCCACCTAACCGAGTTGCTCCTTCATCAACAAATAATAAGTCCTTGTGTTCACAGAAAACAATTGAGACTACCAGTTGTGATTTCCCTCATTTGTTTTCAAAATTCCTTCAACTTTAGTTGAATCTATTTCATACTTAAGCCTTTTAAGTCTTAGATAAAGGTGTTTCTTTCAAATTCAGGTAGCTTCTCATCTTCAGACCTTTTGTTTTCCCATTGATCTTAAACCATTGTTCATTCCTTTCTTCTCTCTCATGTTGTCAGCCACTCTGTCTCATATGGACATGCAAGCTTGTCCTATTTTAAACTCTTTCTCCCAACCTTTTGGTGCAGTTTTGCTTATGTGCTACATTCGTCCATGTTTTCACAAACCAGGTCCTCAAAATACCATTTTATAACTGCTATCTCCACTTTCTTTCCACCAATTTATTCTTCAACCCATTGTTACCTGGCTTCTAACACCTCCATGTGCTGGCACTACTCTGACAAAAGTCACAAATGTTCTCCAGTTTCCAAATTCAAAAACTCTTTATATTGAAAATATTACATTGGTTGGTATGTAATATGGACTTCTTAGCTATTTGTTGAACTGAACAGATAATTTTCTCTGAAATATTTTGAGACTGTGGATCACTGATTTCTTGAAGTTCTCTAATGACTTGTATTTTTATGTTCTAATGCTTCTCCTCCTTCTAAGATATTATTTTTATTTAATTTTTTTCTGGCTCATCTTCCTTTATTCTACTTACTTTTTGGGTGCTATCTATTTCATCTTTTGTTATGATGAAGGTAAAAGGGTACAGCCTTCAGTATGGATTACACCTGATCATAAAGAAAGTGAAAATCCTTATGACTGGACCAATAAACAACATCATGATAAATAGCAAAGAAATTGAGGTTCTCAAGGAGTTCATTCTTTTTTTTTTTTCATCTTACTTTAGATGAAGGTTTACAGAACAAACTAGCTTCTCATTAAACAATTAGGACATGTATTGTTTTGTGACATTGGTTGCCAACTCCACAACATGTCAACACTCTCCCCTTCCCAATCTTGGGTTCCCTATTACCAGCTTTCCTGCCCTCTCCTGCCTTCTCACCATTGTACCCAGGCTGGTGTGCCCATTTAGTCTTGTTTTGTTTTATGGGCCTATCTAATCTTTGGCTGAAGGATGAAGCTGAGGACAGCCTCCATAATTGAGCTAAAAGGGTATCTGGGCCATACTCTTGGGGTTTCTCCAGTCTCTGTCAGACCAGTAAGTCTGGTCTTTTTTGTTGTTGTTGTTAGCTGCTTGAATGTCTTCTTTGGTGAAGTGCCTATTCATAACCTTTGCGCATTTTTTAACTGAATTATTTGACTTTTTGTTTTTAGAGGAGTTGGATTTTTCTGTAGATTTTAGAGATTAGATCTTTGTCAGATTCGTGATAGTCAAAAATTTTTTCCCAGGTAGGTTCTCTTTTCACTCTCTTGGTGAAGTCTTTTGATGAGCTTAAGTGTTTAATTTTTAGAAGATCCCAGTTATCTAGCTTATCTTCTGGAGTTTGTGTGTTGTTAGTTACGGTTTGTATGCTGTTAATGCTGCGTATTAGGGCCTCTAGCATTGATCCTATATTTTCTTCTATGATCGTTAAAGTTTTTGGTTTTATATTTAGGTCTTTGATCCATTTTGAATTAGTTTTTGTGTATAAATGTGAAGTATGGGTTCTGTTTCATTTTTTTTGCAGATGGACATCGAATTTTGCAAGCACCATTTGTTAAAAAGACTATCTTTTCCCCACCTGATGGACTTTGGGCCCTTGTCGAAGATCAAGTGACCGTAGGTGGATGGATTTACATCTGTGTTCTCAATTCTGTTCCATTGGTCAATGTAACTGTCATTGTACCAGTACCAGGGTGTTTTGACTACCATAGCTATACAGTAGGTTTTGAGATCAGGTAGTGTGAGTCCTCCTACTTTATCCTTCTTCAGTAGTGCTTTACTTATCCAGGTCCTCTTCCCTTTCCATATAAAGTTAATGATCAGTTTTTCCATTTCTTTAAAAAATGTTGTTGGTATCTGGATCGGGATTGCATTGTATTTATATATTGCTTTGGGTAGAACTGTTGTTTTCACAATGTTGAGTCTACCTATCCATGGGCATGGTATTTTTTTTATTTATGTAGGCCTCTTTTGGTTTCTTGCAGTAGTGTTTTGTAGTTTTCTTTGTATAGGTCTTTTACATCCCTGGTTAGATTCAGTCCTAAGTATTTTATTTTCTTAAGGGCTACTATAAATGGTATTGTTTTCCTGATTTCATCGTTCTGTTTATAGGTGTATAGGAATCCAACTGATTTTTGTATGTTTATTTTATATCCTGCTACTCTGCTGAATCTTTCTTTTAGTAGTTTTCTCATGGGGTCTTTTGGGTTTTTTATGTATAGTATCATATTATCCACAAATTCACACAGTTTTACTTCTTCATTACCAATTTGGATGCCCTTTATTTCTTTCTCTTGCCTTACTGCTCTAGCTAGGACTTCCAGCACAATGTTAAATAGGAATGGTGATAAAGGGCATCTTTGTCTTCTTCCTGTTCTCAAGGGGAATGTTTTCAGCCTCTTTCCATTAAGAATGATGTTGGCTGTTAGTTTTGTACAGATGCCCTTTATTATGTTGGGAAATTCCCCTTCTATAACTATTTTATTGAGAGTTTTTATCAGGAATGGGTGTTGGTCTTTGTCAAGTGCCTTTTCTATGTCAATTGAGATGATCATATGATTCTTTTATTTATGTGGTGGATTATGCCGATTGATTTTCTAATGCTGAACCACCCTTGCATACCCAGTATGAATCTTATGTGGTTGTGGTGTCTTTTTTTTTTATATGATGCTGAATTTTATAGGCTAGAACTTTGTTGAAAATTTTTGCGTATGTATTCATGGAAGATACTGGTCTTTAATTTTCTTTTTTTGTGGTGCCTGCCTGGTTTTGTTATTTAGGTTATGCTGGCTTCATAGAATGAATTAAGAAGTATCCCTTCATTTGCTATGTTCTGAAATAGTTTGAATAGTACTGGTGTAAGCTCCTCTCTGAATGTCTGGTAGAATTCTTCAGTGAAGTCTTCTGGGCCAGGGCTTTTTTATTGGGAGGTTTGTTTTTGTTTTTGTTTTTGTTCTTTTTTTAATTAAATTTTCAATTTCTTCTCTTGTTGTGAGTCTGTTCAGATTTTCAACTTTTGTTTCTGTTAGTTTGGGTAGGGAGTGTGTTTCTAGAAATTTGTCCATCTCCTCTAGTTTTTCCAAGTTGGAGTACAGTTTTTCATAATACTCTGTCATGATCCTTTTTATTTCAGTTGGGTCTGTTGAAATGTCCCTCACTGCATTTCTTATTTGGGTTATTTGCATTCTCTCCTGTTTTTCTTTTGTCACTTTGGTCAATGGTCTGCTGATTATGTTGATCCTTTCAAACAATGAACTTTTGGTTTTGATTCTATTGTTTTTCTATTCTCTATTTCATTTATTTCTGCTCTGATTTTTATTATTGCCTTTCTTCTGGTGGCTGTGGGCTTCTTTTGCTGTTCTCTATTTGTTCAAGTTGTATAGCTAATGTTTTGATTTTGTCCCTTTCTTCTTTTCTGATGTGTGCAATTATTGCTATAAATTGACCTCTGAGCACTGCCTTTGCTGTGTCCCAAAGGTTTTGGTATGATGTATTTTCATTCCTGTTTAATTCTAGACATTTTTTTATTCCTTCTTTGATTTCTTCTGTTACCTGGTGGTTTTTAAGCAGGGTGTTACTTAGTTTCCATGTATTTGATTTTTTTCTTTGCACTTCCTGTTGTTAATTTCTGCATTGATGGTGTTGTGATCAGAGAAGATAATTTGTATTATCTCAGTGTTCTGGATTTTTCCTAGTTTTGTGGC